ACAGCCAGTTCTCAGCTTTTTTGCTTGTTTGCCTTAGCCAGAGCTGCCCCTGGGCATGCAATGGCCCCACATGGCCATGCTGCAGTTTCTGCAGCAGTTTCTGCAGGCTGCCCTCATGGCCTCCACGAGCTCAGCACCGAGCTCCTCCTTGAGACCCTCTCCCTGTGAGTGGGAGAAAGACCATTGCAACCACACCCCACAGTGGAGAGACCGTTTTGGGAGGCTGGACACCAGTTCTGACTAGTTGGACCAGCTGATCATGGAGTGGTGGAATGACCAGCAGTGGCTCCAAAACTTCTGCATGTGGAAGGCCGCCTTTTTAGAGCTGTGTGCCTGGCTTGCCTCTGCCCCCCGAAGACACAACACTCACCTGCAGCCCGCCATCCCCCTGGAGAAGTGGGTCACAGTCGCCCTCTGGAAACTCATCAACCCAGACAGTTATCAGTCAGGGTATGTCTACACCACCCTCCTAATTCAAACTAGGAGTTAGTCCTCGTAGAATGAGGTTTGCCTAGTTCGAATTAAGTGCTCCACTAGTTCGAATTAAGTTCGAACTAGCGGTTTGCATGTGTAGCGCCTATTAAAGTTAATTCGAACTAACGGCTGTTAGTTCGAATTAACTTTGTAGTGTAGACATAGCCTAGGCTATCTGGCTTCCCCTGCTTGGACTAGTTTGACCGATTCTGCACCTTCCCCTCCTCCTGTACTGTTAAAAAACAGAGCTAATAAATGAGGAAGAACGGTCTTGTATACTCATCACATCTTTCTGTCACCAACCTGTTGATTCTCAGGCTATGTCTATACCACAACCTTCCTCCGCAAAAGCTTATGCAAATGAAGTGCGGAGTAGAATATCAACATGCTGACAAAGGGCTGTTTTTGCACAAGAGGCTTTTGCACAAAAAGGACCTGTGTAGATGGCTCCTTTTTGCACAAAAGAAACCCCTTATACAAAAGCGACGAGGAGTCCTGTGGCACCTTATAGACTAACTGAAGTGTAGGAGCATAAGCTTTCGTAGGTACATGCATCTGACGAAGTGGGTCTTTGCCCACGAAAGCTTATGCTCCTACACTTCAGTTAGTCTATAAGGTGCCACAGGACTCCTCGTCGCTTTTGTATAAGGGGTTTCTTTTGTGCAAAAAGGAGCCATCTACACAGGTCCTTTTTGTGCAAAAGCCTCTTGTGCAAAAACAGCCCTTTGTCAGCATGTTGATATTCTACTCCGCACTTCATTTGCATAAGCTTTTGCGGAGGAAGGTTGTGGTATAGACATAGCCTGAGAATCAACAGGTTGGTGACAGAAAGATGTGATGAGCAGCCAGCGGAGTGGCAGCGGCATGACAGGCGGCCAGGAGAGGAGCGATGGAGAGGCGTAATGAGTAGCCAGAAGGGTGGCGGTAGAGAGGTGAGATGAATGGCCAGCAGGGAGGTGTCAGAGTGCAGTGAGCAGGTGTATGGTGAGTGACCAGCAGAGTGAGTAAGATGCCTTTTTACCACCCCCCAACTCAGGATGAGAGGTGAACTCTGAGGATGCAACTCTGAAATCTGGGTTTGCCCTGACTAAGGGCAGCAAATGTTAGTGGGGTGCAGAGAAGGGTTGGGCATATGAAATGGACTTAAGAATCTGAGAGGAAAAGGATATTGCTCAACCTACTTCAGGTGGGACTTTTACTCATGGTTTTGGTTATGAACTCTGGTGGTTTCCCAAATTAATGCCACATTACTTCTCTCCCCTTTTTAATATTTTTTTCAATACATTCAGACTCTGTGGTTGTGAGTGGGGAAGCATTGCTTCTCAAAGGGACCCAGGGATGTTTTATGAATTTTCCAGGTTACGGGGTGGGGGCTTAAGTGAGTTCTGTGTTGGATGGATGGAGAGGAACCCCTAGGCTACCTCTACACTACAGGGTTTTTGCGCAAAAAACCACAGAGCATCCACACCTCAAGCATGTTTTTGCGTAAGTAAATTTGCAGTAAATCAAAAGAACAGAGGGGTTCTTGTGGTGTAGGTATTCCTCTTTCTATGAGAAATAACTCTTTTTTGTGCATGAGTTCTTGCGCAAAAAGGTGTGTGTAGATGGGCAACGGGGTTTTTGCGCAAAAAGAGCCAGTTAAAAAAAGCATAGGTGCTCTGGTGGCTATTCTGTGAGGAGCAATCAGAGCTTTCTTTCGAGAGAGCGTCCATGCAGTCTGGATTCTCTCCTGTGCAAAAGTGCATCGCTTTTGTGATGCGCTTTTGTAGTGTGGATGCGCTCTTGCTCTTGAAAATTTTGCGGAAGATCTCTTTCACGAGGAGTAACGGTAGTTCGGACTAGGAAGCCTAGTCCGAACTACCTAGTCCGTGCTGCGTGTAGCCGCGCGGCACGGAGTCCGCACTAGTGGACATTTAAAAATGGCGGCACCTGGCTTTATGCAGATGAAGCCCGGGAAATTCAAATCCCGGGCTTCATTTGCAACTCCGGTTGCCTACATTACCACCCTAGTTCGAACTAGGGTGGTAGTGTAGACATACCCTAAGGTGCCATAGGACTCCTCGCCGCTTTTGCAG